CCCGCGGATCCCGCCTTTGCCTGCCCATGTCCAGCTTTGCCAGCGGCGAAGGGAAGATCATCCTCTACCTCTACATCACCGACTTCATCTGTTGCGTGGCCGTGGTGTCCATCTCCTACGTCATGATTGCCCAGGCCCTGCGGAGGAATGCCCAGGTGAGGAAATGCCCACCCATGGTGGCTGTGGATGCCTCCAGACCGCAGCCCTTTGTGGGGCCCCCGGCCCCCGGGGCTGGGGAGGGCATGCAGAGTACCGTGCCCGCCTTGTACAGGAACCAGAGCTACAGCAAGCCGCAGCGTGTCCAGACACACAGCTACGCCAAGGACCTCGGCCAGCCCCCGGCCACCACTGCCGGCCCGCTCTTTTTTTTGTCCACAGCCAAAGACTCCAGGGCCGTGGTGACGTGCGTTGTCATCGTGCTCTCTGTCTTGGTTTGCTGCCTGCCCCTAGGCATCTCTTTGGTGCAGGACACGCTGTCCAGCAGCAGTGGCTTTGTTCTCTACCAGTTTGAGCTGTGTGGGTTTACCCTCATTTTTTTCAAATCTGGATTAAATCCTTTTATATATTCTCGCAACAGTGCCGGACTTCGGAGACGAATCCTCTGGTGCCTGCAGTATGCAGCCCTTGTCTTTTTCTGCTGCAAGCAGAAGACAAGGCTTCAGGCCATGGGCAAAGGCAGCCTGAAAGTCAACAGGAACAAGTCATCCCACCACGAGACCAATTCAGCGTACATGTTGTCTCCAAAACCTCAGAAAAAGTTTGTGGACCAAGCCTGCGGTCCTAGTCACTCCAAGGAGAGCGCGCTGAGTCCCAAGGCTTCTGTCGGGCATCAGCACTATGCACAGAGCAGCTCAACCCCCATGAACACCCGAATCGAGCCCTATTACAGTATCTATAACAGCAGCCCTTCCCAGGAAGTGAGCACCCCAAACAGCTTACAGCCGATGAACTCGACTTTTGGGTTTACCAAATCCTATATTGCCATGCACTATCACACCACCAACGACTTGGTGCGAGACCATGACAGTGCTTCGACTAAGCAGATACCGGTGCCCTCGGTGTGACCTTAGGAAAGGGTTCTGGTCTAGCTGATCCAGTGGGTCCCCTTATTTGCTTTTGTTAATGATTTTTGTGAACTCAACGGTACAGTACTGCTGCCAGTTAAGAAAAATGCCACTAACGTTAATATCCAGCTATTTGCATTTGAAGTGAATACTAGGATATTACTTCTGTGACGCTTTATTGAATTTCTGTGGCCAGTCAAAAAGGGCGGTATTTTAGATTTGTATTTGGTATTATGACATAAGGGTGTTTTTACTCGATTTTACTGCTGGATAAGGTTTAAAAAAAAAAAAAGCAAGCACTATAACTATGTGACTCGTTACGTCATGAGGCAGCATATCTCAGAGAACAATCTGAGGTTGCGCCAAAAGTATTACCTGTTAAATTGCATCCTTGCCATATTTTCAAGAGGGAAGAATTGGGAGGATGGTTGGTATTACGATAGTTAAGTTTAAACTCTTCTTATTGCAGAAGGTTGAAAGAATCGGCAGTGTTTTGTAGCTGGTGTCAATAATAACAGAAGTCCTTTCTATTCGCAGTGTGAAATCCTGGTTCCGTTGAGGTAAATGGCAAAATTTCCATGAACTTCAACTGAAGTTTAGGATTTCAGTCTCGGCTTCCTAAAGCAGGACAAGGCATTTTACAAAGAGCGTTATATTGCCACTGGGGAAGGACTTTTGAGAAGTGTTGTGGCACTGTAATAAACCTCTGAAGTGTATATGTATTAATTTCCGCTGTATATTTGTTTTAAGGAGCGGTGGTGTTATGTATCCCAAAATAATGTATTTGGAGAAGTGTTTTATATCTGATAGAAATAACAGTGCAATACCCAATGATAGGTTTTACTTGAGGATAAAGGCAAATACTGCAATATTACAGTACTGATACACTATTAGTAATGCAGTCAGCTCTGGAATTTTCTAATTCGTAAACTGTTATGCAAAGAGTAGTGTTGCTGGTTGGTTTTTTGTCTGTGACTTAGGATAAAAGTGAGAATTGGGGGCATTGGGCTGTGATATTCCTGACAGGTAGAACTGACAGCTATTAATGTTTTTAAAAAGAGAACGACCACGTAACAAGATGACTACAAGTTTTTGAGGTTTTCTTAGGAAGTTTAACATCAGTTTGATTTAAAGATTAATAATCTGTTTACTTATAAACTTTGTCTGTTGGTCTACACAGTGAGCAAATACCAGAAGTTAAATATTTTTTTAATAAATCCAGCCATTTGTGTTTTGTCACATGTTGTGGGAATTCCTTATGAGACGGAACGATTTGGAGGCAGTTAAATTCCTGACAATTACCGGTTTAAGTGGCCAGATCTTTTCAAAACAAGCAGTTACTTTTCAACTTCTATGGACTTCAGCAGAGCCCTAGTATCTCCAAAATAATCGTGCCACAGACTTTTGATGCCTCATTATAGGAGAATGCCACATCTTTAGCAAAATTACAGTGGTGGAAAGATGATTTGTTATTTTAGAAACAAAAAATATTCACATCATTGCCATGTGTGAGTTGTTGGTTTAGGCTGTTTGTTAACTAAACTATTTTCCTGGAAGACTATTACATTATGAACACAGTTCTTTGTTTAATGCTCTGAATTTTAATTAATTTTGAATAATTCAAGACCACTTTCTTGCAATAAAATGGATCTGAACAACTTTCTAATACAAATGTAAAATTGAAATTATTTCCATAAGTCTTTTCTCTCTGCCCAGATATTGTTCTCTATAAACAAATAACGTGGTTCTTTCTAGAGGAATTATAAAAGATAACTAGAAGATCTGTCTTGTTTGGATTTTCTGTCTCTGCATTTCTCTTTAGTACAAAGCGTACTAATTTGGAGGGAAAAAAACATGTGGGATCCTGTCACTTTCTCTCAAACTATACGTTCTTAGCAGCAATTACAGCTTCAGATCGTAAGGCGTACAGGGCAGGACCCCCAAAGTGGTTGCAAGATGGGGTCCTGTATGTACTTGAAGGGAGGTGAAGATACGGATTAAGACTGGTTTTAACAATAAGCCAGGTTTGGGTTCACTGCGTCTATGTACGACTCTACTGTGCTTTTGGTTTGGAGCACATGAACTTCATCACGTAATAGAAGATGAAACCCCTCGCACGTTATTCATAAAAGTAATTTGCATTGAGTATTCATATGGGAGTAAAGCAAGAAGGGTACAGTTTTAGGATAGAAGGAGATTTTATTGCCTTTATGTGATGTATTATTAAGACAAAAGAACTGAAGTCCCTTCAAAGCACTTTGTAGTATTGCTCTTCTGTTAACTCCTGGTGCCAGCTGTATCCTTAATATAACCACTGTGTTAAAATGTTTATAGTGTCCGATAGGAAAGCGCAACGCCTTTTAATCTGCAGTAGGAACAAAATCTGATTTAAGTTGTCAGTTGTACTAAATAACTGTTTTGGGAGACGTCTATGGATGTAGTAAATTGGATTTTGAAAGTATGTAGGTACAATTTCTTTGACGTGAATCATGAACTGAAGTAGTCAATTATCGTATGGTAAAATAATTGTTCTAGACTCTTCTGGAGCATGACTCTTCTGGAGCATAACTATTCTTTTTTCCTTTAGCCCCCTTGTTGTATCAGAACCCTCTTCTGCTGAGCACAGAAGCACTAAAGCGTGACTGCGAGGTTAAAAAAGCAACAACCTAATTGAGAGGGGAAGCGACAGTGTGCTGGATGAAGGAGATGGAAAATGTACGTGAAGAGAAGAGATGGGTAAGAGAGTAAGCGATAAAAGTATGTGAATACTGAATGGTTTAGAAAATGTAAGTCTGTAGTTAGTGCAGTCCATAACACAAGAACAAGAAAGGCTCTCATGAATGTGAAAGGTTCATAATCCAAGACGCATAAAGTGCTGTACTTTCCATACTGCCTGTACATACGCTGTGGAGCTCATCGCTGCAGAACTGTTTAGAAAAAACTAGGAAGGTTTCACAGGTACTTCACATGGGTAGTATGACTATCAGGAGCCTCACAGTTAATGCCAACATGTTTTGGAATATATTTAAAATTTTATGCTCCAGGAATTAAAGCAATCTTTGATTTCTGGGGTTAGGATGAATCCATTGTGGTGGAACACATTATCCAACGTATGTTTTCAGTGTGCTTTTCAGCTGCTTTTGAAGTTGCTGGTGTTGGCTGCTGTGGTGATATTTGGAGGACTGGTTATGCTTTATTACTGAAAATCTGCGTTTGTGATGTGAGGTGTACTACTAACAGTTTGACCAGGGTATCTCATGGAATAAGGAGCGGCCTCGGAGCAAGCATAAAGCAGCTTATTAGAAGAACAGCTGATGGATTACTTGGGGCTGATCTCACTAACAAATGACTTCTGGTTGTTTACATGAACAAAAGTACTTGGAAGATTTTATAAGTCACAGTCTTTTTAAGATCTTGCTTTACGGTGATAAAGAGTTGACTTTTTTGGCTAGTGGCTTGCACAGTATTTTTTTTTTCTTTATATAGAAAACCTAAAAGCTGCTAATGCCAAATAATTTTACTGAATATCTACACAACCTCAAAAAGTTGCTAAAGAATCTTCAACAGTTGGGCACCACCTCAGAATTTCTTAGACTAGAGATTAGAGAGATTTCTGTGAGGTGGCATACTTTTTTTTTTTTTTTTAAAGTCACAGAGGCAGTCTGCCTTAGCAGTAAGCTTCAACAAGCTGGAGAGGGCAAGGTGAAAAAATTGGACAGGCTATAGTCAAGAAGGATCAGTGCCTAATAATTTTGTGGTATTTTATGGTATATATGGTTTAGGTATATAATTTGTCACTTGCTAAGAAAGATGTGAAAATTACCCCCTGTATAATCTACAGTACCACTCTACTTGCAGCACAGGGAATAAAAAAATCCAAAGGGACTTCAGAACTGCAAGGGCTGTGCTTACCTGCACCGTTATCTCTTACCTTCTTCCATAAGGTAGCAAAGTGGGGCTACAGAGAGCAACGCGAGAAGTTCATGATGGAAGCAGAGAGAAGGCAGGTGGTGTGATATCTTAAAAATAATAGAATAGTCTTGCAGGGATTAAGGTGGTTTCTAGGTTTGCCTTCTGTCTGTTTTCAGGGTGATCAGTGTACGTGACTCCTCAATGCTTGCTGAGGAAAGGTGGGTTTGCACCAAATGCAAAGAGATCTCTCTGTAATTGGAGGTGGTAGAGGGGAGGGCAAGTCCCGCTCTGCTTCTCATAATTTGCACTGGTCGAAGACTGGAGAAGTAGCACTATGGGACAAAGGGGGAAGAGGCAATTTCAAAGCGCTTTTGGGGTTTGCGAGCACTGGTTCTGTCCTCCGGTGCAATTGATGCAGAATTCTTTGATTTGAATAGCTCTTTGGTTGATGTCAACTTCGAGCACTGCACTTTGTGGATATACGAAGTACAGTATCCTTTGAAATTTAATCAGTACTGACAAATGGACTTAAAAATGTCATTTATTATGTGCTGATAAATGCTGACAACAGGTCGTTGTCAATTGCTATTTAAAATGGGTTTATGTTTAGTATTAGAAAAATGCTTCCATTCATTACAAAAGCTGTCCCTGAACCTTCGTTCCAAGAGTCAAACATGCCACGCGCTGCAGGGTGGGGTTTTTCCTTTTTATTAGGAAGCAGCACAGAGAGGGTGAAAACCATGTACTGCTCCAGCTGGATCTTTTCCTTTTCAAAATACACCTGCAGAAGAGTTGTATTTGCTGATATGTTTGTTTGACGTTTCCCCTTTTGGCATCAAATAGGTTGGTATTAGTCTGATTTTGTCATAGCAGAGCTAATTCCTTTTCAGAGTATGTTTCAAATGTGCTGTCCCATATGTTGTAGACAGACATTCTGCATTCCTGGGTCTGTGATCTTCTGCCGGTAAGTTGTTTGCTCATCTTATGAGCAAGTCCAGGTTGTGCTACACTAAATGATTTGTTCTCACCTGGTGTTTATTGTCCATCACAGTCTGTTGATTTTCCTTGAATGTGTAAATTCAATCAGC